TATACAAGTTATAAAACTGTTATGTACAAGTTATAAAACTGGTCATGCATAGGGATCCAATAAGCCATTCTAAATCAACCGTGCCACCTCTCTATCTAACTATGAAGCAAAATTAGGGTAGAAATATACATTTTTAAATACCTTCTGTGTTCTTTTAAAATTAAAAATGGCGCATCCAATATGGCGAATAGAATCACAATAAAAAGGCATAAAAGTTAGAAAAATTTATCAAAATGTGTAACAACTGTATTAGACATTTGTTTACAATATTTTTTTGGCCAACCGAACCTGACATATGTCAGTCTTTTCAAATTTCATGATCATGGATCTACCATATTGATGTCTATATAAATTTTCTTTAATGTAAATTTTGTTACAACGTCATACTTATATATCTCAGCGAAAAAAGTCGTGCAGCGGTAATCGAAAGTGGATTTGAAAGGCGAAAGTGAGTATTATACGATGACATTGGCAGAAATATTTCAAAAAATTTGGTTTCCCCACAATAAATTCACGAAATTGGCCAAAATAGCGATTTTTGAGCCATTCAATTACAAATTACTCAAAAACGTGACGTGCTACGCAAATTCGGCGGCCAGATTCGGATTCAACATACAAAATTACGTCGGAAATCACTATTGCATCTTTAAAAAAAAAACCTCGCAGGCCTGTGTTATTTCTAAGACCGAGGAAAATTTAGAAAGTAATAAAGGGTCTACAATGATCTGAATCAAGACTCTGTTCTTTTCTTCCTTGTTTTACTGAATGGGAAACTAAGTTTTATTCACGAGTAAATTTTTAATGCAGGCCATTGCAAAAACTTTAATATTAAAGAAACACACGATTTCTATTTGAAGGGAGCAATTTCTGCCTTTCCTTTTACACTTTCCGAGTGATGAAATATCGCTTCTTTTTCAGCTGACATCTTACCATCGGCCGCGTATATCAGCCATATGTGAGGTGATAAATAAAATAGTACACTCTCTATAGTGCGCGCTCTGTAAAAGGTTAATATTTGAACGCTACGGTAGTACGAAGCCGGTGTAACATTTATTCACGCTTGAGGGAGGGAAAAGCGTTGTTAAAGTTGCGATCGCACGAGCGAACCCGTCAATGAGCGAATCCGCGATCCGCTGACAAGCCGGTCGAGCCGGGGATTTCATCACCTGCTATATAAATCGGACCGTTAAGAAAAATCTGATTTTTTTTCCAGGATCCGCGAAAAAACCTGGGCAATAGCGAATGGGAGCTATTCACACGGTATCGTTACATTTGCCGGCTTTGTAAGTTCTGGTTCGCTTTTTGCGAACGTTATGCACGTTCGACCGGGTAGATCCCGAATGCGTATCCTCACGATGCCGGTAACAGTTCGCGAGCTGTGCATCCCTATCTTCAAAGGCAGCGGGATAATGGAATTGCCTATTTCAGCGCGCAAACATTTATTCCCGCGGATATCGTTTACGTTATAATTTCTGGGATGACGTGCCGGTGACGTTTAGCGCCCCGAGGGCTCGACTCGTGCGTTTCGTTGGCCGAGGGAGATGATTACTTTAAAGAAACGCCGGAAGCGACCGACTCTCTTTTTTCTCGCAAGCTCGCCTCACAAAGGAAACGTACCGATCGCGTAATCGAATGTTACGCTCGGAAGGAGCGCGCGGGACGAAGTAAACATGCGATAGCCTAGCGGAGAAAAATGTTAAGAATATGTTGGGTCGATTTATTTAATGCCAATAACGTTTATTCCTCGATTCTTTGTGCATGGACATTACTGTTTAGTATGAAAAGCGCACTGCGCGATGCAAAAGGATGATACAAGCTACAAGCTTTTCTTAATTAATTCATCGATGATTGTGAATAATGTAAACTGTATAATGTATACTGTAAATCTCATACTGTATAGAGTTTTCACGTATCCGTTTGCGTGTATTCTTAAATTCTGGAGAAGGATTTTTAATTCTATTACACTGAGAAAAAATCTAATTGCACTAATTAGAATTCTGATAGATTTAACCAGTATGTCTGTTGGAAAATGGACGAACCAGAATTCTTGTAGGAATTACCAGATGAATCTGATTAATTTCTTCCTGTTAAATTTACCAAATTTTCTGGATAATAATACTAAACTCGCTAGCACCAAGTCGACCCAAATTTTTTCCATCTAATCTCAAAAGTCTATTTAATATTCTAAATTCCAACAAGATTATTAGATAAATTCAATTCAGATTATTGAATAAATTATTTTAAATTCAGTTTGTTAGAAGTTAAACTGATAAACAGTGATGCAAAAAGAAGATGCAGCTCAAACATACAAAACGATTACTCACGATAAAAAAATGATGGCAAAAAATATTATGCATCAAGTCACCAAGATATTATGCTCCCACACTGAGAAAAAACTCTGATTGCACTAATTAGAATTCTGATAGATTCAACCAGTATGTCTGTTGGAAAATGGACGAACCAGAATTCTTGTAGCAATTACCAGATGAATCTGATTAATTTCTTCCTGTTAAATTTACCAAATTTTCTGGATAATAATACTAACCTCGCCAGCACCAAGTCGTCTCAAATTTTTTCCATCTAATCTCAAAAGTCTATTTAATATTCTAAATTCCAACAAGATTATTAGATAAATTCAATTCAGATTATTGAATAAATTATTTTAAATTCAGTTTGTTAGAAGTTAAACTGATAAACAGTGATGCAAAAAGAAGATGCAGCTCAAACATACAAAACGATTACTCACGATAAAAAAATGATGGCAAAAAAATATTATGCATCAAGTCACCAAGATATTATGCTCCCACACTGAGAAAAAAATCTGGTTGCACTAATTAGAATTCTGATAGATTCAACCAGTATGTCTGTTGGAAAATTGACGAACCAGAATTCTTGTAGGAATTACCAGATGAATCTGATTAATTCCTTCCTGTTAAATTTACCAAATTTTCTGGTTAATAATACTAAACTCGCCAGCACCAAGTCGTCTAAAATTTTTTCCATCTAATCTCAAAAGTCTGTTTAATATTCTAAATTCCAACAAGATTATTGGATAAATTCAATCCAGATTATTGAATAAATTGTTTTAAATTCAGTTTGTGAGAAGTTAAACTGATAAACAGTGATGCAAGAAAAGGATGCAGCTCAAACACACACAATTAGAGAGCTAGCGTCCTCTTTCTGCCACTACTGCTCGTAAGAAAAAAAAAATATATTTTAGATTTAATGTTAATACTAGTTCTTTATATACATTTTATGACAAATATTGAATACGAATTAAGTTAAGAAGCAAGCAAAGAAATTAGTATAACAAGTTAGTATAACAAGAAATTAGTATAACAATTAGTATAACAAGAAATTTTATAGATTCAACCAGAAAATACTAACCAAATCCTTATAGTAAAATCTATTAAACGTTCTAGTTATAAAAAATCGGGTCTTATCATGATAACTAGAAATTCTTGTTTGATTTAACCAAAATGCCTTCAATCATGTACGTCTTGTTGGTATAATCAAATGATTTTTCTCAGTGTACAAGTAATAAAAAATGACACACTTCCAAAAATTACGGCGTTTTTGTCGTAAAACAGACGACTTTAGGATCCCCTCAAACTGTAAGTCCCATATGTGATAATCTGGTGCGCAATACAGATATATGACAGAGATCACTATGTTCGAAATCGAATTAAAGGACTGAGAAGAAGATTGTGTATAAATACAACCGACTCGGATATGTCAATGTTTGGGACATTTAATAAAAATCTAAACGCAAGAAGATATAAATTTACATTATGTGTGTCTCTCGAAATTTTAGATTGATCGTTATCATTTGCCATAACTTCATGACCGTACGTAATTTCCTTAATACCATATATCTAATTCATTGCAATTTGGATTTCGTATCATATATGTAATTCCATACACATCTGTCCGCTAAATTACAATAAATTACTCGATTGACTATCTCGGCGCGAATAGTATGCAACATACTAGAATAGTATGCAACACAAACTAGAGGCAATTATCTAGTAAACTACGTTATGTGAAACACAGTGCGAATAACTCGCGAATAAAGAAACATTAAACTGTTGGAATAATATAATAACAGAATGGCCGTCTTTCTCTCTGTTTCTCTTTCTCTTCCCGAATGATCTCGCAGCATTCTATTTTTCTCGCAGAGCGACCGCGCCGTGAAAAATTATAATTGATATAGACGGACCGGAAGCCGAGGGGGAATAATCCGAAGGCGAACGCTGGGGAAACGTAGACGGCGGGAAAAGAATCGTTGGTCCGTTGAACTGGAATACAAAAGTCGGCTGGAGACTTATGAATTAAAGTGAAAATGTCGGTCTCGACCATACATTTCGCAGAGCAAAAAAAGAAATTTTTTTCTCTTTTCTCTAACGAAAATATATATCTCGATATTTATCGTTAATGTATATGATTAACAATCATGTATTTTTTCATTTATAAAAATATATTTTTCTATTTTAGCAGTTATTAAATACATAAATTGTAAGACATCATTATAATGTAACGAAGGATAGAATTTCTGCGATAGAGCCAAATTACACATGACAACTGTAATTAAAAAAGCGTAATTATAATTGTATTAATATTATCAGGAAAATAAAAAAAAAATTAGACGCAATTTAAAAATAATAATTTTGACACATTTATGTACGTGCCATGAATTTAGACGGATCATAAAAATAAATCCATTTGAAACAATGATAGAACAGCGGAATAGTTCGGGACAGTGTAACGCGACAATATAACAACAGTTTAATAGCATAATAAATGCATGCGACGAGCTAATAATTATTTCAATTCCATATATACGTTGTGACCGTACATAATCGGTTCACGACCATGAATTGACTATCCGATTAACGATTCGAATATTAATGCGGATTTTAATATTGATTAATCTATCTGTTCACGTTATCAAGCGGCACATATGATAATGATACATGTAACATTTATTTCGTCCTTTCCAGGTGGCATGGTTACGTGTCGATACGCAGACTATTTTGACGATAGCGAGCCACGTGATCACGAAGAATCACAGGATCGCGGTTTCTCACAGCGACCACCGTACGTGGTTTCTTCACATACGAGAAGTACGGGAGTCCGATCGAGGCTGGTACATGTGTCAGATAAATACGGATCCTATGAAGAGTCAGATCGGTTATCTCGAAGTGGTCGGTGAGTAAAATTACGTCCGTTATTTCTCTCGTTAATGAACCGACAGTAATTATCCTGATTCATTTATATCGTTGTCGCGCTTCGTATACAGGGTGTCTCATTTTAGTCCCACCAGAGCTTTTTCCAAATAACTTTCTTATTTTTAATTTTAGAAAAAGATGTTTCGGACAAAAGTTGTATGGTTTTTAGAGGGACATAAGATGGTGCCATTGGTTTGACCTTGAAGAGTCACATGAAGGTTACGTGAAGGTCATTTTGAATTTCTTAAATGGAACGCCCTATACATTTTTGCATATTCTTGTAGTTTATCTCGAGAGCTTTCCAAAACACTATAAATAAACATTTTTTCATCGAGTACTTTTCGAGTTATGAGGCTTGAAGTAATTTCTTAATTTTTACATGAACCATAAAGTATTTAGTAAAATATTCATTTATCGATTATCTTAGCTTAATACTTTTATGTACAAAATAATAAGAGGAATCAATCGGTGTAAAGAAAACACAGAGTTTGTTTCAAAGAAAAAAATATGTAATTGTTAATTGCAAATAAAAATTGGGACACCCTGTAGAGGCAAATTCTCGAATGGAATATCGGCAGTTATTACGCGCCTCGTTATTATGCTTCATTAAGCTTAGGCGAAAACTAATTTATCATCTCCTCCATTTATGCATCATTATATTCCCATTCATTTATTAATACACGTCGCGCAACTATATTTAATACAAGTATAAAATGAGCGTTATATTGAAATAATGGACTCGAGGTAAACTCGCTCCCAGTTTCGGCATCAGCTCGTGTATATATATCCGAGTATTAGATTAAATTCAATTAATACTACAAGAAGCTAATAGCGAAAGCGGGGCGCCGTTGAATACCCGCGATATTACATCCGATGCGGTGGAATAACGCGAGCTCTCGTCGAAAAGGTAAAGGCACTAGAATCACAAATCCGCCAAACCAATGCGAAACTTTCGGCCGACGCGAGTTAGTCCGCGGCCCGTTGGCTGGTACAACTTACAAAGTGGCTCTTGCCGCAGTTCCAAGACTAGGCGAGCACTCGCGAACTGCAAAGCTTCCGCGTCGTATATCGCTGCTCGAATGCACTCGCAAGTAGATTATGTAGAATGCTAATAGGACCGCTTTCATCGGTTCCATCGGTTAAAGAGACTTCGTTTCGAGTTCCGTTTCACGCGATCCACCCTCTCCTCATGTCATAATTTCCTCCCTCTCTCTCTTTTTCTCTCCCTCCGATTTGTCGTTTAAGCGATGCTCCTCTCTCATCCACTCTTCTCTTTCTTCGCGAGAAAAGTTTCCCGCGTTTCGTTGTGCTCCCTATATTAATGACGAAATTTGCCATTCCATTGCCAAGAAGGTGAAAGAGAGAGAGAGGGACCGCGGTTTGCTATTTATACTAAAGTCCGTATTAAGGTTTGAATATGCCGGGTTTAATCCTTGCGCGTACTGCATCGTGCGCGGGTAAGTGGCAATTTCCATAGATAATGTTACTCGTAATTGTACGGAAATAGGATGATGCGTCGGAGATATGCGATTGCGATTGTGTAGGTGGCCGATCGTGTTGGATATATGCGAGTTGGCATGTTTCGACTATGCGCATTAAACGTGACTTCCGCTATAGTACCGCGTGATGTGACAATGTTGTTTAGGACGGAGATTAATTTTTTAATTTATTAAATATACCGCAATTATAATTTTGACTTATTAAAATGGAGCATTACGAAGGTTTAGAGGGACTCATTATTTTTGTAACAAAGGAGCTTTTTCCTGCCCAGGAATACGCATATGTGTAATTAGTAAGTTTAAAACTTATATAATGTAATATAATTACTCTCGTTACATTATTAAAAAACATATTCATTTTATTCATTGATTACTGCCGGATGGGGAGATGTTGCGCGTGTTTGCGTTTTATAGTGGAAAGAAAAAAAATTCGTATTACATTACACAATCCTACATCGAGGCGCATCGCAGTTAGAGTAAAATATAAGAAGTATCTGTGCTCTTTTCTCGAGATTCTTTTATCGGTGATACGGGCGATTCAAAACTCGTTATTTCTCGAATCTTTTTCGCATGTCTCAAAGTCGGCGAAAGTAAGGTTCTTCCGAGATCTCCGAGAATGCGAGTTATACTTTCTTTAATGGCCCCTCGATATTCATCCGTAAAATCTACTTGTGTCTCTGTCAACTGATACGACGAACGAATGTACTAATGGGACGATAATGACGCGAGCCAGATCGATTCGGTAAACCACTTGGTGACAACAAAGTACGCAGGGTAATTGTCAGAAATGATTGTCAAATATTTATGTATCGCAACGTTAGCTACACTGTAAAAAAAAATATGTAAAATTACACATGTAATCAATGTAACAATTACGCTATTTATAACGGAAATATATAAATTCATGTACTTTTACAAAAATTAGTTTTTTTACTCTTTATTGTGTAAATATTCGTTTATATTTGATAAGAAATTACAAGATTAAAAGTGTAATTTTTGGATTTTATGTAAATGTACAATTTTTTGTAACATTTATATAAAATAAAATAACGTAATTTAAATCGACCACACTGGCAATTTATTAGTAGGCCTTAATATTGTATATAATGTACCTAAAAAACTGAATGCATTGATTAAACGCGGAAAAGATAGATTGCCTATTAATAGCAGGACTGAAGTCGTTTATAAATTAGACTGTAAAAATTGCAATAATTCATATGTAGGCCAAACGAAAAGACATTTAGGCACTCGTGTCAAGGAACATTTTGACAATATAAAATTACACGAAAGCAATTTGTCTGTTATTAGCAAACATAAATTGGAATTTAATCACGACTTCGATTGGTCAATACCGATTATTTTACACAATGAAAGACGTGAGAAAGAGAGAAATTGCTGAAATGTTTGTTATCAAAAAATTTAACAACACGATTAACTTACAAAAGGACACTGAGAGTTTAAACAATATTTATGATAGATAAAGGCTGTTTAGTCTTTCTCTTTGATCGGGAGGTTGACATGACGATCTTGACATGTGATTTTTTCTTTTCTCACTATATATTGGTTAACTAAAATATTGTACGTACTTAATAATTTTTTTTCTTCTTTTTGTTCACATTTTATTGTAATTTAATTATTGTTTATAATATTGGAAATTATTGTAGTTCGCTTGATAAGGACCAAAACCTATGGTCGAAACGTCGTGATTCTTTATCAACTAATAAATTATCAGTGTGGTCGATTTAAATTACGTTATTTTATTTTATCTACTGGCGACATTCAAGAATTTAATATTATTTATATAAAATTTATATAAAAATTATTATTTATATAAAAATTACACTTAATAAACGAATATTTACGCAATAAAGAGTAGAATAACTAATTTTTGTAAAAGTACATGAATTTATATATTTTCGTTATAAATAGCGTAATTATTACACTAATTACGTATGTAATTTTCAATTAAATTTAATATGTGAAATTGTATAAATACATATACAAAATGTATTATTACGTCAACATTTCTAGAAATCTACTTCTAGCATGTAAATTTATTAGTACAAGATGCTTACTTACCATTTAAAGTAATAATTTTATCTAGGAAATGTAAATTTGCTAATGTATGTAAATATACACCTTTAATAGTTGGCCTCAATAGTACCCACTATAATAGTTGTAAATTTGCACACAAATTTTTTATAGTGTATAGCTATACGCGAGCAGAGGGTAGGGAACGTTCCGACAACGTTGGCCTCTCGAAGAAAACCACTCGAGAGCCGGACCCTGCTCTCGATTCCGCCGATCTCGCGATGCAGCGGAGTTCGTTGCGCTCGTTGCGTTTGTTGTATACTTTACGGTCTCCCGTCCCGGTCTTCTCCGCCGTTCGTACCGAAATCAAATTGGCATTCTCGAGATACGGCCAAGCTCTCGCATCCCATCTGTAGCAATCTAATCCAGCGTTCCGGAGTCGGCGGCGGCGCACGGAGTCCTCGCGTGCGTCGACCTGACCTGACCCTCTCTCCCAGATTCCGACCTGGTCGGTCGGGGCGCGTATAACCGAGACCGGACTACTTACGGAACTTCTCGTCTCCCTCGTGGGATCATTCCGCATCCCCTCGCGACTCGCCCGATAGAAGTCTCCGGCAAATGCACCGCTGCCGCGCTTTCTATTTTAACAGCGCCCGCGTCGTCGCGGTTGTACCTCAAGAAATCCGCCCGTAGGTAGACCGCCGAAGGCGGTACTTGGCGAGGGTAGGATCTCGGGGAGCGAGCCTCCTTCGGGAACTGGTTCTTATGCGAGCGCTATGTTCAATGGGACATGGGGAACGAACGGGAAATATACGGGGCTCATTTATCTTTTTTTTATCCCGTCTCCAGTGTTTGTTGTAGATAATTTCAAAATTATCTAGATAAAGATAACGATAAAAATCCGTAAATTTATCTTGGATGAGATAAAGATGATTTTGCTTTTACTTAATCTAGATGAAAGATGAGATAATTATTCGATAATCTAGATAATTATCTAGATATTTTTGTTTATTTTAGAAGATTATAAATATTTGTAAAAAATGTGACGCATATTATAAATGAGATATTAAAATCATAAACACATATTCTTTCTCTTTTTCTAAAGAATATTTAAATAATAGTAAAAAGATATATAAATGATATGAGAAATATTTATTTATTAATTTATATTTACAATACATTTTTATAATATATTAATAATATAATAATAATATATTCATAATATATTAATAATAATAATATGAAAAATATATTTTAGATATTTTAGATAGATTTTTGGAAGCTTGCTTGGAAAACTTTTTTGCATGATGAAAACGTCATCTTAGACAATTTTTAAATAAGATGACATATATTTTTCATCTAAGATAAAGATAAAGATACTTTGTATTTCTTCATCTAGTTAAAGATAAAGATGATCTATTTCTTTATCTAGATGATTTTATCTAGATAC